CCACCGCGCATCTCCTTTTAGTCACCACAGGTCCAGGTGGTAGGGGCGCTGCCCACCTTGCAGCCTGAGACCACCCAGGTTTATCTGGACACAAAGCCCTGTCTGCCACCCAGCTAGACACTCACTGTCTTATCCTGCCAACTCTCAGAGGAGAGGGAAAAGGCAGCTGTCTGCCTTGGCCCGGGCCATAAGGCCAGAGCAGCCTGTGCTTTCTTTGTTGGTGACCACTGGGGCCTTGGGAGTATTTTCTGACAGGGCCTGCTGAGCCAGATGTGGGTAAAAAGGAAGCCACAGAGTCAGTGGAACGATTAGGACACAATCATTTCATTCAGTCAGGCTTGAGAGATGCCTCACGAAGAGATCCTGTCCTCAAAGTAAGAACAGATTTGAGAAAGGCCAGAGGCAGCTACGAGGGGGATGCAGTGTGGAGAAAGGCTGCCCGGAGCCCCAGGCGCAGGCGTCTGACTATGCTCATGGCAGCTCGATGAATCTTGGCGGAGCAGGGCAACAGTGTGAACTCATCATGGGCCTCACGAGCCCCTGGATGCGGCTGCCAGGGGCCCCATACGAATTTTTTTTTTCTATCATCTTTTTAAAAAAATTTTTTTTTCCATAATTTTATTGAGAAACAAATAGCAATGAGACAGTTTCAACCCATCCAGATTTGACAATGCATGTGGGGAGACTGCTGTGGGTCTCCCTGTGCATCCGGCTCAGTGGGAGGGCCAGGGCGGGCACTGCCTATCTCACCTGACCGTCCCTGCAGTATCCTGGGTCTGCAGGGCTCGGCCCACGGCGAGGTCCCTGATCCAGTGCCGCAGCCCATCCAGCCCCCATGCAAGTAGAAAAGAGGTGGTGGTGTGACATGCTGCTTAGTGGGGCTGGCTCTCCCACTTCCAGCGGAGAAGGGACACCCCAACTGGAACCTCTTCCAGGGCCCTAGCCTGGAGCCATTGCCCACTGGGTATGTTCCCAGGAGCCTCCATATCCCCAAACCTGTGATGATAATAATCATAGCTACCACCTACTAAAAGCATCTCTGTGCCAGGCAGAACCTGGCCTGGAGGTCTGATGTTAGCTTCACTCTACAGAAAGACATCCCCTAGGGCCAGGGAGATGGCTCAGTGGAACAAGCGCTTCTCTGGCAAGTACAAGGGCCTGAGTTCAATCCCCAGTTCCGAAAAAAAAAAAAAAAAAAAAGACAGCCCCAGAGAGAGACAAATTGCCCACGATTATACATCCAGGAAGCAGCCTAAATTTGAATAAAGTTTAATAATTTTTCAGAGTCTCAATTTGAATCTAGGTCTGCCTGGTTCCAAAAATATAGAACCTCAAGTCGATGGCCTCAGTGACTGTTTATAGCATCATCTGTCATCATCTCTACTTGTCCTTCCCTCTCAGAATATCTGGACAGACCCCAGAGGGACCCCAGGGAAGAGATATATGTCTTTTTTTTTTTTTTTGGTGGAACCGGGGATTAAACTCAGGGCCTTGCACTTGCCAGGGAAGTGCTTATTCCACTAAGCCATCTCCCCGGCCCCCAGGGGTATATGTCTTGGCAGAGTTGACAGGGATTTCACTATATCCTGTGGGGGCTCCTGTGTCCCTAAAATTTGGTGAGTGAAAGAGTAAATTCAGATCAGCTCTCCCTGCCCAGTTCCTGGGTAGCTGTATATCCTTTGTTCTCAAAGGAAGCCACCAAAGAGGCTCATTGCTTGCTGCCTGCTTACTGTAGTGGGGTTCCTAAGGCCAATCCAGGGCCACTCGCAGGAGAAAGACAATTCCAGGGACTCCGAGCCCACCATGAACTCATTGGGGTGACTGTCAACTTCGTTTATCATTAACAGATGTCATAAAGAATGAGCGTGTAATGAGTGTGTATATACTTGTTCGCTGGCGTGTTCATATGTGTTTATTTATATCCTCACAGCAGTCCCACTATGGAGGAGGAACAAACAGGGGCCCCGGAAGGTCCCTGACTTGGACTTGGCAGCATGGTGAAGACACAGTGAGGACTGGCATCCAGGCTTTGTGGCTCAAGGTTCAGGTTCTTTTCACCATGATGGGTGGCCCGTACTTTCTCTGGCTTAGTGACTGGAAAGGGGATGGAAGGTTGAGATTTAAGTCTCAGGGTTTAAGGAGTTTTACATAATGGGGCTGGGTTTTAGCTTATTTCTTCCCACAAGTGTTTTCCATGATGCTCTGAGCAATAGCTATGCCCATGCTGAGCAATTCTGGAAGTTGACAGCCTCTCCTATCCATCAGGCTCCAATTCCTTGAGGCTATTTTTTTTCCCTTGAGTATTTGTAAACCATTTAGAGAGAAGGAAAGAGAAGCCTTCTCCATCACATTTCTACTTATACCAACAGCACAAGCTCCAACATCTTGGACAGGCTCCACACCAGCCCTCTCTCCCCAGGGAAAAGCTGTAGGAGGCTGGTGAGGAGCTGCGGTCCAGGCCGGTGTGGCCGCAGCTCCCCACCAGATCCATTGCACTACATAGTGAGGTTAAAGAAATCTCTCTACCCCACCTGACTTGGGAATTCCTCTCTAGGAGCCTATTCCTAGAGAAAACTTTATACATGGAGTGGTAACTCATGCATTATTTTTAATAGCAAAATCCAGAAACAACCTTTGTCCAACATTAACGGTAAGATGAAATGAATTAGTAGGCCATACCCGCACAATCACTGGAACCATTAAAACATACTTTATGAAAAAATTTAAATGATACTTATGATGTAACATTAAAACGAGAGATAAAGAGAGAGGAAAAAGGACATAAAATTATACATAAAAGGATTAAAAAACACACAGGAGGAAACATTGGAAGGAAATCAGGCAAGATGTCAATAGAGGCTCTATCTACATGGCAAACAAGTAATTTTTTGCCTGCTTTATACCTTTTCTGATACTGTTCTTTTTCCCCTTATGTTCCTAGGATAATCAGAAAAATAATTCAACAAAGCTATCCAAATCCACCCGACTCCAGGGGTGGTAGACAGCCAGATATATTATAGGGCTGACTGGTCAGGCGGAGAAGGTGGGTCTCTGTCACCTTTCCCACAACTCAAACACTGTGGCCACCTGCAAAGGGCCATTCCTGTGTGCCTTGTAAATTTGCTCTTAAGGTTTGGCTGGAGATTTCTGCCTCCGACTTGGTTCTTCGGTTCCTGACTGCAGCATGGTGAGGAATGGGGGCACGGGCTTCCCCTCTCTGCCCCCAGGCATTGCACATATCTCAGACAAGAAGGCAGCCAGGCCACAGGCAATACCTTCTCAAGGGAGCCGCTGCCTGCCACAGAGAGGAAGCAGGCACTATCTGAAACGCGAGTGAGGCCCACGATAAGGCGTGGCAGTTTTTCTCAGAGGAAAGGGGCGGGGGGGCGCTCATAAGGCTTTGGGTTCAGAGAATGCTGAGGCCAGGAGAGAACAAAGCTAGTGGCTAGCAAGGCCGCAGATAAAATAGCAATAAGCTGCCAAACCCCTGCCACGTGCCATTCTGCAGGATACCCCTGGACTCTAGCAGCAGCTGGGGACCCAGCCCACAGGCTGTGTTGGGTCTGCCATGACAGTGCCTCCCGTCATCTCATTCACACACCCTGGAGGAACAAAGTTAAACTCAGTCCTCAGTGTCGCCTAGACAGTTGGGCCTCCTCCTCGGAACCAAGCCTCACCCCTCACCATCCCTGCGGACAGTCCCAGGTTCCTCAGCTTTAGAGCACTAAGTGATGACCATACATCTTGAGGTCTGCAGGGCTGGAGAGAAGCACAGGATTCCCCTTAGGCTGGGCAGGAAGAGCCTAGAGGAACACAGACAGAGATGCTCCCAGGCCTGGAGAAACAGGGCTGCGCTCTGGAAGTGAAAGTAGAGCTCAAGTGAAATCCCACTGAGCCCCCAGAGACAGGGGCCCTGGCCACTCACCGAACATGCTGCCCTCATAGCCATCCTTCGTGAGCGGGCGGAGCTCATTCCTCCCCATCGCGTAGCGCCGGTAGCTCTGCCAGGCAAAGCGCATCATCTGCAGGAAGGAGCAGAGGACCTGGGTGAGACCATGCCCGTCATACAGGTGGGCCACTGTGGTGCTTCTGCAACAGGAATTCAACCTACACCTTCAAAATGATTTCCCAAAGCTGGGTGTGGCTATAACCCCAGCCCTCGGGAGGCTGAAGCAGAAGGATTGAGAGTTCAAGGCCAGCTTGGGCTACAGAATGAAACCCTCAAAAAAACAAAACCAGGGCCTGCAAGATAGCTCAGCAGACGAAGCGCCTCCTTAGGCAAGCTCAAGGACCATGGCTTGATCCCAGGCACCACATGCCACGCTGGTCACAGAGACCGGGTGTGGTGGCGCGTGCCTGTAATGTCGGTGCTGGGGAGGCTGAAATCAGGAGGATCACTATGAATCCAAACTGCGTAGTAAGACCTTATAAAATACATAAAAATCAATGTTGTCTCAGTTAAGCAAAACAAAACAAAACCACTCACCAAAAAAAGATATCTCAAATTTTCTAAATTGGGGAAGGCAACCTGCTCTCACCGTAATTCCCCTCATACAGCAGTTCCTGAAGGCCACTCTCCTGCACTAAGTCCTGCTTCCACCGTCTATTCAGAGAGTTCTTAGAAAAGGTGGAAGAAACACAAACTAAATTCCTGCCGTCCATGAATGCCAAGTGAAGAGCTGCCTCTTCCAGGTCCCTGCTTTGCTCTGGCCTGAAGTCCCCCAAGGGAAAAAAATCAACTCATAGGGCAGGTGAGTGCCTGTTGTGGCCTAAGAGGACAACACCTGAGTGAGGACTGGAACCACACTCATGAGTGAAATAAAGACTCACGTGTGGAAGCACTGTATCGTCTCGTCAGCGTGAGAAACTGAATGGGTAGACAAGATCCAAAATGTACCACAGATACTGTGAATTGGGAAGAAACTATTCAAAAGAAAAGGCAAACTATAATGGGAGAAAGAAGAAAGGAAGAAGAGAAAATGTACTTATACACAAGATGCTAGTTTCTCTTAGTTCAATGAAAAGAAAGGTTTGTGCTAATGTAGTTTGGACAAGATATCATGCCTTATCTTATGCTCTGAATAACCACTAGGAAACAACAATACAATGTATTGATTATTTTAACTCTCCTGCCAACCTGTTTTGAAACTCTTTTATTTTTATTTTTCTCTTTAAAAAATTTTAAAAAGTCGGGCTGGTGAGATGGCTCAGTGGTCTAAAGCACCTACCTAGAACAAACTAAGCTAAAGCACAGAGACCACGGTTCAATCCCCCAGCACCACATGCCAGCCAGCCCCGCCCCCTGGTGGGCTGAGCTGGCCACACACACACACACACACACACACACACACACAAACACAAATAAATAAATAAAAATTTTTTAAAAGACCTATATAGCAAAAAAAAGTAACTTTAAAAAAAAATTTAAAAAGTCAGGGGCTGGCCAAATAGCTCAGTGGATTAAAGTGCCTGCAAGCAGGCGCAGGGGCCAGGGGTTTGATCCCCAGGCCTGTCATGCCAGCTCTGCCCCTGGGGATCGCTGAGACAGCAACTGAAACTAGGTATGGTGGCACGCGCCTGTAATCCTAGCTCTTGGGAAGCTGTAAACAGGTGGATCACTATGAGTCTGATCTAGTGGTGAGACCCTGAACACCCTATAGACCCTTCCCTAAAATAAAAAAAAAAAATTTAAAAAGTCAAAAGTATGAAGTAACCTGGCCAAGATTTCCCAAGGAGTCAGCAAGAGGGCTAGAAATTGAACCTATGTTTGCTAATTCTGAAGCCTTAGGTCTGTCCCCTAAAGTCACCACATGAGGTGCTCTGAAGGATTGTAACCACCCTGGCCATCTCTCTAGCAGCCCAGGTGGCCACTGTTATTTGTTGTTGCCCTGGCTGTGGACCATGAGCTCCTTGAGGCCAGGGCAGCCAGCACAGGGCTTGGCACATGGAGGCATTGATGAGTAGCTGAGGGCTCTGTCACCCAGTGTGGGAGTTCTTACTTTGCAAAAGCTTCATGCCGGCACCTACCTGCCCTTTGCTGCATATGGCGCTGAAGGCCAAGGGACATATAAGGCGGCAATCTTCCCACCCTACCCCATGCCACACAGTGCCACTCTGCTCTCTTGTATCCCAGTCTTCCTCATTTGCCTGAACAGACAGAACAGTGAGCTTTGAGGTGACAGTGGGGTGGAGGAGGCAGCCAGAGCTATGTAGCGGAGGCACTGCTGAGGGGCAGGGGGCTGGAGAAGCAGGCAGATACAGAGGAAAGAGCTCAGGCTTTGAGACGAGAGAGTGGAGTTCCAATCACCGACATGTGCTGCTATCCCTGTAACTCTGGCATGAAACTGCATGTCTCTGAGTCCCAGATGCCTCACCTGAGTCCTGTTTCATAGAGTGCAACAAAGCCTGCTTTGCCATGGTGCCGAAAAGTTTCAGTAGAGGGCAATAATGGAAACGCCCTCTTCCAACAGCAAGTGGTTGGCGATAGCTAGCTCTCTTCCCTTCATGGTCTTCTGAGCCCGTGTCTGATTTCCAAGTCTCGCCTCTACCCTCCACCTCATGTACTATTAGTTCTCAGACATCGGTTTGCATGAGAATCACTGAGGGTTGTGAAAACACTGATGACCATATTCCTAAATTTCTGACTGAGCTGATCTGGGGCAGGACCCACAAAGCTGCCTTCCTAACCAGTTCCCATGTGACACTGTTGATTCACGAGCCACATCTGAGAGCCACTGCTCTATTCTACAGGGCAAATGCCCCTTATCCAAAGCACCTGAGGCCATACAGGGTAAAGATTTCACTTTTATTTTCAGATTTTGGAATATTTGCTTATACATAATGAGCTGTCTTGGGGAGGGACCCAAGTCTAAACATGAAATCCACTGATGTTTTACATATGTCTATGGATAGCACAGAGCTAATGTTACAGAGTATTGTTTAGCACGCCTGCATTTCCACTGTGACCCATTAGATGAGGCCAGGTGTGGAATTTTCCATTGGTGACATCATACTGCCCAACATATTTAGGGACTGTAGAGAATTTGAGACTATGGATTGGGACTGCTTAGCTGGTATTTCTCTGTCTCTATTTCTCACCCCACTTCTAGATACTTCTCCTCCTATCTCGGGACTGTCGGTATCCTGCCGCAATGGCCCTCTTCCTAGAATATCTCCACCTATATTCGCTATGGCCAGACCTTTGTGGTGCCCAAGCTCAGATGCCATCTCTTCTGGTCACTGCGGACAGCAGCTCCAGCTGCACTCCCTGACCAGGAGGCAGGCCTGGTGGGAGAATGGCCCGAACTCGCCATGCAGTGGCAGAATAGTCTAGTACCACACTATACTTCACAGATGAAGAAACCACAGCTCCGGAGGGCCAGCGGTCAGGGCAGCCAGCAAGCAAGGCCAGATAGAATCCAGCTCTTTCATCTCCCAGGGCGGCAGAGCCCACCTCACACTCCGCTGACATGGCTTCTCATGTGACACACATACAAATGTCATGGTGATGCATGCCAAGCACTTGGCACTGGCTCTGAGTCCCGGTTTTATTCCTCTGTTATTTTCTACTTATCTTCAATTGGCAATAACAGGAAATAATTGCTGGGTATGAGCCCTTTAGGCAGACTGGTCTCTCTTATCTGGGGGCAAATAGCTGGGTGGGAGGGAAGCAGCAGGCTGCTAAGATGAAAGCAACAGCAAATAAGAAGGTACAGCATTTGGGTGGCAGAGGTAGCCACCGCCCGGCTGGAGGCTGGGTGGGGGGGTGTGCTCCTGGGGGCAAGGCCACGGCCCTGTGGCTGCAGCTGGGGAAGATGGCCTGGCACTGGGTGGAGACTGTGCGGCCAGGGGAGGTGTCACAGGAACACATCGAGATTGCCTACTGCATATGGCTGGAGCCCTGTGTCCGCAGCATTTACAGACAAAACTGCAAAGGAAATCCAAATTGCTTGGTTGGGACTGGTGAGCATATTTGGTTAGGAGAAATAGATGAGAACAGTTTTTATAACACTGATGATCCCAACTGTGAGGGGAGAAAAAAGAACTCCTTCGCAGGCCTGACAAACCTCGGAGCCACATGTTATGTCAACACGTTTCTGCAAGTGTGGTTTCTCAGCCTGAAGCTCTGGCAGATGCTCTACCTGTGTCCAAGCACCTGTGGTGACTACACAAGGGGAGGCGGCGTCCAGGAAGAGAAAGACTATGAACCTTAGACTATTTGCGAGCATCTCCAGTTATCTGCTTTGTTACAAAACAGTAAAAATTAGGAGGAGACAATCAATATTTTTGTGCAAATTATCAAAGCAAACAGAATGCTACAAGGAAGATCCGGCTTCTAAGCCTTCCTTGCACCCTGACCTTGCAGTTAATGCGTTTTGTCTTTGACAGGCAAACTGGACATAAGAAAAAGCTGAATACATACATGGGCTTCTCAGAAATTTTGGATATGGAACCTAACATGGAATGAAGAGGTGGGGCTTATGTGTATGAGCTCAGCACAGTCTTAATACACAGAGGCGTGAGAGCTTACTCCGGCCACCACATCGCCCGTGTGAAAGATCCACAGTCCCGCGCATGGTACAAGTTTAATGATGAAGACATAGAAAAGATGGAGGCGAAGAAATTCCAACAGGGATTAAGGAAGATCTAGCAGAACCCTCAAAGTCTCAGACACACAGACCCAAATGTAGTAAAGGGACTCATTGCTCGTGAAATGCATCTATGTTGGTTTATAGACTGCAAAGCCAAGGGAAGCCCAACACGACTGTGGAAGTCCCAGCCTTTCTTCAAGAGCTGGTGGATCTTCAATTCCAAATTTGAGGAGTGGTGTGTTGAAATGGCCGAGATGCATAAACAGAGTGTGGACAAAGGAAAAGCCAAGCATGAGGAGGTTAAGAAGCTGTACCAAAGGTTACCTGCTGGAGCTGGTCTGTAAGATATTCCGGGACAGCACTGTTGCCATTAACTGCCTTGTTTGTTGTGTTCGCAAAAAATGTATATGGACAAACTTTTCTACCCTTCC